TCCAGCATCTTCACGGCGGCCAGCATTTATTGAACACATACTGTGGTCCACACTGTGCTGAGCTCCCAAGGGAAGATGGAGATGAAAATGCACTACCCCACCCCTGCAACACATCACAGAACCAGATGGGAGGAAGACGGTAACAAACCATTCGCCAGCATGGCAGAGGAGAGGGGCCATCAGGACATTTCAAAATGCCCCATGGTGTTTTTCTTTTAAAATTAACTTTCTCTCTTTTTTTTTTAAATAAAGATTTTATTTCTTTATTTGACAGAGAGAGAGAAAGAGAGCACAAGCAGGGGGAGAGGCAGAGGGAGAAGCAGACTCTCCACTAAGCAGGGAGCCCGACGCAGGGCTTGATCCCAGGACCCTGGGACCATGACCCAAGCTGAAGGCAGATGCTTAACCGACTGAGCCGCCAGGCATCCCGATAAAATTAACTTTATCAAGGGGGTAATTTACATAAAACAAAACGACATCTTAAGTAACAGTTTGTGAATTTTGGCAATTATATATGCACATGCAATCCCCACCACAGTCAAGATGTACACTATTTCTGTCCCCTCAGAACATTTCCCTATGCCCCTTTCTAGATAATCCCTTCCACCTCTAACCTCAGGCAACCGCTGGTCAGCTTCCTATCACTACAGATTTGTTCTGCTTTTTTTTAATATTTCATATCAATAGAATCAAACATTATTTTTTAAAAATCTGGCTTCTTTTGGGCACCTGGGTGGCTCAGATGGTTAAGCGTCTGCCTTCGGCTCAGGTCATGATCCCAGGGTCCTGGGATCGAGTCCCGCATCGGGCTCCCTGCTGCCTGCTTCTCCCTCTGCTTCTCTCTCTCTCTCCCCCTCTGTCTCTCATGAATAAATAAAATATTTAAAAAAAAGAATTTAAAAAAATAAAAATAAAATAAAAATCTGGCTTCTTTCATTCAGCATAGTATTTCAGTGATTCATCTACAATGTTGCACGTGTCCCGTTTGCTTCTTTTCATTGCTGAGTCTTACTCCATTGTACGAATACACCATAATTTGAATACACTGTTTCATAGTCACTTTGGTTGTTTCCAGGTTTGGCCAATTATGAATACAGCAGCTGTGCTATTCTTGACTAAGTCTTTTTGTGGACATGTTTCTCTTGGGTAAATACCTAGGAATGGAATTGCTGAGTCATATGATAAGTATATGTTTAACTTTATAAATAATTATACCATTTTACAGTCCCACCAGCAATGAATGAGAATTCCAGAGTCTCCATGACCTGGTCAACACTTGGTACCAACAGTCTTTTTAATTTTAGCCTTTCTGGTGAGTGTGACATAGCCTCTCATTGTGGTTTTCACTAGAAAAATATGTACCTTGTTCCTGTCAAGAGTTGAGGCATAATCCTCACTCTTATAGGGTCAGTGTTCTTTGGTACTAAGGGCCAACTTACTTTCAGAGAAGGAAGCCATTTCTCAAGGATGACTAATTGTCTTTGAGATACAACAAGGTAGAGTTTTCATTTTAAGTTAAAATGATCGGAGGCCATACTGTTCATGTTTCTTTCACACGCAGTCTTAATATTGCAATGACCAAAGTCAGTTCATGAAAACTCTTTGAGTCCCCATCCCCCTGCTGTTTCTCTTGCTAGTATCTTTCCATGTTATCAACATCCTTAAACAATAGCTTTGGGAAGGCCTGAGTCAGTCTCTCAAGTAGACTCTCAAATTTTCCTTTTTCTACCCTCCCTTTTTTTTTAAAGATTTATTTATTTGAGGGGGGGAGGGAGAGGGAGCTTGAGTATGTGGGGGGGAGGGGCAGAGGGAGAGGGAGAGGGAGAGAGAGAGAATCTCAAGCAGAATCCCTGCTGAGCGTGGAGCCTGACACAGGGCTCGATCTCACGACCTGCAATCATGACCTGAGCCGAGACCAAGAGTTGGACGCCTAACTGTGCCACCCGAGGCGCCCCCCCTTTCTACCTTCTATTGCTAAATAGTACTAACATTGACTTATAACATCATTATTGTCATCTCCTTAGAGCCTTGTGGCGACTATTAGAGAAAGTAAATCAGAACCAAGTTGTTACATGTTTGCTTGAAGGCCATGTGCCAGGATGTCCTGTGCACTGGTTAGGATGCCTGCTGTTGCAAGTAACAAGAATTAGTTTAGGCAAAGTGAGTATAATTGCTCGTGTCATGGCAAAGCCCAGAGTTTGACAGCATGGATTCAGTGGCTCAATGACGTAACCATGAAGTTTCTTTCCATCCCTTTGCTCTTCCTTCCAGTCATCTTCATCCCACGACTGGCTCTCCCTTGTGGTCACAGAATATTTACCAACAACTTCCCGCCTACTCATTACCTCAGAACTCCACAACAGGCAAGCCCTGAGTCACATGCCCATCCCTGAACCAACCGGTGTGGCCGGGGAGGTGGAATTAGCTTAGAGCCACAGGCCCCCATCTACGTGCAGTCAGCTTCCCCCATGAAGCTGAGGCATAAGAGGGGGGCTATTTATTAAATGAAAACAAAGACGACAAGAGGAGGGAGAAGAGATGTGGGCCAGGCAGCGACGAGCTCCTCTACTTCCTTCCTTCCTGGATTTAGTTATTCTGAATATTCTAGGGAAAAAAACCTCTGTCATTGACATTCAAGTTTTCTCAAAACATACCTTCCAAATTCAATGTCTCTTCAGTCAACAACTATGTCAGCCACCTTCCTTAGTTTCTAAAATCATCACCTGTGTTGCCAAGCATTTTCCCTCAAGCCCGATCTTCTTCTGTAGAGCAAACACCTAAGTTCACCCACCCCCTAACTTGTAACCAGACTTATTCTAATCTTGCCCATTACTCTCAGTCAGCCACATGGGGATAGTCATCCTACTTTCCTCCACAGCCATCTGCTTGAGCCCCACATTTGGCAGCAGCACACTGCCAGAACTTCCATGTAAGGCCAAGTGAACAAATGCTTCTTAGGTTGTCACCTTACAGGGTATGTGTTTGCTCATGTGCTCCAGCTTTATATGCCCGAATTATTTTTTCCTGTGAAAAATCCATCTTCTCCATTAAAATAATAATTGTCTAGGGGGTAGAAATACAAACTTTAAATTGATTTTCTACCCAGGGCTGTATCTTCAGTTAGTATTTTTAAATGTCCAAGCTCTATGCAGAGAGAACTTTATGTATTTAAACCTTTTCGTGGGCTGATAGCCTGAAGGGATTTTTCTGTGAAAGCAGCGACTTTTAAATGTACAAAAATAATTGATATTGAACAGTCTTGTCTCTAGGTTTTCTTATAGTTTTCAAATATTGGCTAGATATTTATCTTTTGGGGCTGTGAGTTGGACCTTGCAATGGAGAGAGATTAATTGCCTAAAGTGTGTCATTGATTGGCCATAAGTGGGTAAATGCATCAAACTCAAAACCCACCAAGCTCCACCAAAAAGGACATGATGGTCTGGGGAGGGCAGATGGTGAGCAGAGATACCAGAGAACAGTTTAAGCACGTTGTATACTATCCTTGTACTAATATTTTTCAAACCCCAGAAACCTATTCTTTTTGTTATGTTGGGTGTAGCACATGTGGCTGTTTGTTTTTCTTTCTTAGGAGAAAAACTGAAGCAGTTCAAAACTTATAGCTTCATCTGAACAAGAGAATCATTTTGTTGTCTAAAAACCCACACTTAAAAATTCATGAACAAAGTCAGTATTCAAAAGAGGAAATAAGAATTTCCTTTCAGTTAAAAAATTATGTTTTTCTGGGTTTTGTTTTGTTTTTTTGGCAAACTCTCAGGATCACACAAATGGTCAAGCTCCGAGAAACTACACATACAAACAACAAATACTCCTGCATGGACACAAATGAGTACTGTTCTCTTGAAACCGGTCTCTCCGATTCTACTGGTTCAATCTCCGATTCTACTGGTTCAAAAAAGACCTATAGCTGTAGTCTTTTTGGAGAATATTTCAAAGTGGTTTATGGAACTTTTCACCGTAGAAGTTACTTCCTATAAATGGGGCCATGATTATAGAAATCACACACACACCCCACAGGGGGTGGGGAGGACATAAAACAGGCTTCTTTCTTGATGGCTGTTTCCAGAAGTTTCCAGAAACAGACCCATCTGGAGGTTACAGTTTTTCTGCCTTGTGTGGAGCTCTGGTTGCAATACAAAGTGCTTAAAACACCCACTGAGTACATGGAAGATGAATATGCCTCTGTGAGTGAGAGGGAGAGATGAACAGAGAGGCAGAGCACACAAATTCTGACTAGTATTTCAGCTTCTCTTGCAAAATGGGCGAGGTGGAGGCTGTCCTAGTGATGGCTAGGGAGGCAGCTTCCCTCGGATTGCAGCCCTGATCATCTGCACGTTGGACTCAGACTGGCCTCCTGTACCCCCAACACCCACCCACTCCCACACATTGGGTCTCTACACTCACCTTGTTCTGGGTGCCCCCCTCCCCACTACCTATTTGGATCCAGAACTGTGGATGGGTCTGTGGTGGGTGTTAGGCGCTGAAGAAATCCTAACCTTCCTATGTAGAGGTAAACAGAACTTGGATAAGAACTTACGGTTAAGCAAGAAGACCTACCAAACAACTAGCAGCAGTAAGAAAGAGCATTGCTCACAGGAGAGTGGAGGCCACAGGAGTTATGCCCACAGAGTACGCAACTATGATTTTTCACTGTCATCAACTATACTAATGTTTCTGTGGTTTTTTGTTTTTCAAAAGAAGCCCACGTTGAAAAATCACCCAAGATACACTGCCGTACCAGCAAGAACCATACTGCCTCAACACACTTCCTCTAAATACACATCTGCCTTGCTGCCTGGGGTTCTTCCCACCATCTGATGGTATCTCAAAACAGTGCCACAAAATATTAGTTCTGGAGACTGGAGACGTGGGGTCAGGTGTTTTCCACAAAGTACGGTACACGCATCACTGTGGTCAGCAAGTATCTTAAGGGACATGCAAGTATTTATCGGTTTAATGGTTATGCACTTATTTTAATATGTATTAGGAAAAAATTGCCACACGGCACATCAGTCTGGGCACTTAGCACCATCACTTAGGGTGAGCTTACTACTGAACTGCAAGGCCAGTGTCTCATTACATGCTTTCTGGGTCAACTGGTTAGCATGTGAGAATCATGGCCACTGATGATCCCCAGTCTCAGGGAGAAGGGTCTCTCCTACTACCTGGGCCTGGTGGCTGTGGACAAGGGTGTCTGGGCAATACTACAATTGGGCAGCCTTGTGAGGATGAAGATTTACCCACAGCACCCAACCTTGGGCTTTGGCAGTAGGTCTCCTTTCTCAAATCAGACACCTTACCCAAGATTTTGAAACATTTAATCAGAAAAGAATCTGGCATTTTAAAAGTTAGGTTTACAAACTCGACACAGTCTTAACATTAGCAATTTATCTATTTATACATTGTCTAAGAAAATAAGGTCCATGAAGACATGAACAAGATATTTAAGAGTTCATTATATGGCTACAACAATTTGCAAATAAGTATCCAGTTTAATTGTAACAAACCACTGTGAGCAAATTTAACTAAGTATATAAAAACATTAGTTAAATATAATTCTCTGGAAATATACATTATACCTACAGTTTGTTGTTGCTGTTTTTTTACAGTGAGATTCTTCCTGCTTTCTCCTGTTTAATTCTCAAAATGGCAAATCACTGTATGGTCCTGGATCTCCAAGCTATAAAACTGAAATATGTGTTTCCAGCATAGCAGATGGTGACCAAAAAGGCGAAGAACTGGAGAAAACAGAGCATAATAGAAAGAGGGCTTAGGGCACATTCTAATTAGCAAAAGTTATCATTTCACCTCCATTGAATCAGGCAGTCATAGCATCCCTTGACTCCAGGCTTTCTCATCTAAAATTGCTTTATTGGTTCAATTACCTTCCTTCTGAAATGATCTCTGGCTATGCTGGTTGTTTGGGGTTTTGTTTTGTTTTGTTTTTTGTTTTTCTTTTTGAAACATATCTGGAAAGCTTGTAGTTTTGCTCAAATAACCACAGGGTGTTCACTTCAGGGTGAATATGGTGGTGTATATCTGAGAAAAGCACATGTACTCCTAATTTAGTATAGACAATTTTAGACCAGGGCTTAACCTCAGGTTGCCATAGGGTCAGTTACATAAAGGAGTTGAGTGGGTGGGAGGAAGTGATGAACCCACAGGGTGTGAATGGTGAGCAGGGAAAAAGCAGGTCCCACTGAAGGGGCAGCCACTGCCCAGGTCTGGCTGATTCTTGCTGTATGATAGCTTGAGCTTAGTGCTGCTGAAGCTTGTGATTAAATTTTTTTTTTTTTTTTTTTTTTTTAAGTAGGCTTCACGGCCAGCATAGAGCTCAATGTGGGGCTGAACTCACGACCCTGAGATCAAGACCTGAGCTGAGATCAAGAGTCAGACACTTAACTGACTGAACCATGTGCACCATGCTCTCTACCTTTAAATAGAGATTTTTGAATATAAATATCAGAATATAAGAAATAGGGGAGGGGGGGCCTGGGTGGCTCAGTCAGTTGATCAAGTGTCCCAACTCTTGATCTCAGCTTGGGGTCGTGAGTTCAAGACTCATGTTGGGCTCCACACTGGGCATGGAGACCACTTAAGAAAAAAAAAAAAAAAAATATATATATATATATATATAATAAACGGCTGTGTATCATCAATCAGTTTTAACATGATCATTTTGGTATTCCTGTTTAACTGCCTCCCAAACCCCTGCCAATTACTTCTTTTGGGACTGGAATATTTTAAGGCCAATCTCAGAGAAACTTCTAAAATTAGTTTTTAAAATCAGAACTACCATACACATTAATGGTTTAAATATGTAAATACTGTGGAAGCACATAAATTAAAAAGCAGAAGCCCCTCAGGCTGCTCCCCTCATCAACCAACCACAGTCTCTGGAAGGAACCTCTGTTCACGTATGCTTTCCCAGGCACTCGCATCGCATAAAAAAACATCTCCACTTCTTAAGTAAAAATAGAATCATAGTGTGCTCATTTTTTTTTTTTTTTTGCAACTGTCTCCCCAACTTGAACTGTAGTCAGTAGAATTATTCTTAGAGTGCCTCAAATATTTTTTCTTCCTCGAATACTTATTTTGTTCCAGCTATTTGGCTTTTACTCAAGCTGGGTCTTTTTAACCTCTGTGTACTTCAGGCCATCAGGAGGCCCCAGTAGTTTCTAATGCTTTCAACCCAACAAGTTAATTGCCAGTGTCAAGAGTGCATGTGAGGCTTTCCCGCCCCTACAGATAACTTGGTCCTCCTCCTGGATCCCCAGCCCCACTGGGAGGAGGAGACCGTGACCCTGACCATGCAGGAAGGGGGTGGGGCAGGTGAAAGGGCTTGCTCACTCACCGATGAGGCTGCCCAGCTGTTGAAATTGTGGCTGTCTCTCTCAGGGGAGACAGAAGATGCGTCCACCACAGCGGCTGAGAGGTATAAGACGAAGGCACTGCCATTAAAGCACAGACCCTGAGGGAGATGGAGGGGTGGAGTGATCAGGGAGCGTGGAAGGTCTGGGCGCCTCTGGATCTCTGCAGTGGCCAGACCTGCACGCCACGTGTGGTAAGGGGTGCATCTGGACACTTGGAGGGGGCAGGGATGAGGGCTCTGAGAAGCAGCTCATCAGTGCCTCCAGGAGGAGGGGGCTTCCTACCAACTTTTTACACAGCACACCCAGACACCCCTCACCTGCCCCCAAGACACCCAGGCTGCCTTGCTTTTCCCTTCGACCACCTCTCTCTCTCACTTTGCTCTTGATCCTTGCTTCATTCAGATTTCAGCCTTGGTGACCTACTGGCTGAAGAAGGCAGGCAGCTGGGGGGCCCCAGCAGCCACAGCCTTTCGGCACCTGTCCCTGACCCAGAGCTGCGAGATAGCTCTTCCCAAAGCAGGCCCAGCTGATCTATTCCCCAGCCTAAGCAGGGGAGGGGACATTTAGGTGAACTCCTCAATCCCAGCAGCAAGTTCTTAAAAATGAAAAGAAGATTATACATATTAACGGAGCCCTTTGGGAACTAATCTCACTCCTGGCTTCATCTTATTTTTTCCTATTCTTAGAGAAGAGAGAGGTGTAAATCCAAGTAGATATTTGGTTTTCAGTTATATTTAAACTCTAGGAAATCAAACTGTGAAATGTGCCAAACTTGACCCCATCTGAACGAGGGTGAGAGGTGGGGATGGGGTGGGGCAAAACCGATGCAGAAAACCAAAGGAGTAGGCCCCCATGGTCTTACAGCTCTCCCTCAGTCATTCAGAGAGACAGGAATGGGTAGGGGTAGGCGGGAAGCAGTATCTTTTTCTTCTAGGAGAAAGGCACATAGAATTTTCCAGATGCAGGTCCTTTTTTTTTTTTTT